GCCACCTTAGGTGTACGTGGCTGGCGCCTTAGCCGGTTGAGCTATAGGCGCCGAGCCTTTCTTTTTGTTTAAATGCAGTCTAACTTTGTTGCCCTTGATAGAGTGTCATGGTGTCTAGCTCACAGCAACCTTAAACTCTTGGGCTCAAGTGATCCTCTTGCCTCAGCTTCCCAAGTAGCTGGGACTACAGGCACCTACCACAACGCCTGACTATTTTTTAGAGACAGGATCTCGATCTTGCTCAGGCTGGACTTGAACTCCTAAGCTTAGGCAATCTACCTGCCTTGGCCTCCCACAGTGCTAGGATTATAGGTGTGAGCCACTGTGCCTAGCTGAGAGGTATTTTTCCAGAAAAACAACAAGACATACTTTCTTGCTCAATAGAGAGACATTTTCTTTTTTGAGAACCCCTATTTATGTCTTGATTAAAGATTTATAGTGAACATCACATGAGGAATAAGGAACAAACTCAGAGGGCCTGGACTCTTAAAGGGGCCAGAATAGAGGCTCAGAGCAGCTGTCCTAAGAGGAAATCACAAGGACCCAGGAGGCCTGGAGAGGAGTTTCCTCTTATAGAAGATTCACCAGGTTACTCTTTTTATTTTTATTTATTTATTTTATTTATTTTTTGAGACAGAGTCTCACTTTGTCACCCTTGGTAGAGTGCCATGGTGTCATAGCTCACAGCAATCTCAAACTCTTGGGCTCAAATGATTCTCTTGCCTCAGCTTCTGGAGTACCTGGGACTACAGGTGCCCGCCACAACACCAGGCTGTTTTTTAGAGACAGGTCTCACTCTTAATCAGGCTGGTCTCAAACCCTTGAGCTCAAGTAGTCTACCTGCCGTGGCCTCCTACAAATAGTGCTAGGATTATAGGCATGAGCCACCATGCCCAGCCCTTTGTTTTATTTTTTTGAGATAGAATCTCATTCTGTCCTCCTGGGTAGAGTGCTGTGGCATCATCATAGCTCACATCAACTTTAGTCTCTTGGATTCGGACAGTCCTCTTGCCTCAGCCTCCCTAGTGACTAGGACAATATGTGCTCACCACAACACCCAGCTAGTTTTCTATTTTTTTTTTTTTTCCGTAGAGATAGTCTTCCTCTTGCTCAGGCTGATCTCAAATTCCTGAGCTCAAGCAATCCACCTTGGCCTCCTAGAGTGTTAGAATTATAGGTGTGAGCCACTGGCCCGGCCCACCAGGTTACTTCTGACCCACTTTTTGAATTTCCTCTTCCTGAAACCCAGATGTCCCTTTATTGAAGGCCTTCTAGGCAAGGGCCTTGGCCCCAGTTCTGAGAAGACATAGATAGGAGCCCCCTGGCAAGGTGAATGCAGAAGATAAGCCACTGTCTCTGAGTTCTCTAGAAATAGCCCTTGGTGTCTGGCATCAGCCAGCCTTGTCTGGGTTTCAGGAGCAACACTGGGTTGATTTGAACAGCCAAGTGGATAAAGCCCCTTGGTCTTTCCATGCTAGGTGGCACAGTTCACAATTTTGTTCCTCTTACATGGGAAACCAAGCAGGGTTTTTGTTAAGCAGAGAGCTTAGCACTGTGTTTAATCACCAGAGGTCCAGCCTAGGAAGTAAATGGAGTCTGTGCCAGGCATCTTTGGGGCTATCCTTGCTGCAAAGCCTGTGTGTTGGAAAATGTGTCCAAGTTCATCTGGGGCAGGTGTTTGTGCCTTATTTTTCTTTTCTATTTTTAACAGCTTCATCTTTTCTAGGGATTCTGATCTGAAGTCTGGATCATTGGGTCAAGTCTCACATAGGATGGTCACTCCTTTTCTCTCTATGAATTAGTGACTATGTTTGCTCCTCCTGAGCAAGCTAGCTCTCTAGAAACTAATTTCAAGGGCTCCTGCTGGAGGTGGGTGTCCCCCAGCTTGCTCGTCAGGAGCAGGAGGGTCGTGGTTTTCTAGTGGGGTCCTGAGGGCCCATGACAACCTCTTAGCCGCAGGTGAGATGCCCGTGCTGGCTTCACAGAATGTTCTTGGCCCTATCTCAGGACTGTAGTAGGCAGGAGCCACAGTCTGGGGAGGGGCTTTTGGCAGAAGGCCTTTGGCCTTCTGCAGAGCTCCCAGCACAGCTTGTTTACCACACAGCCCTGCCTGGCCCTATGCCCTGGCCTGACTGCCGAGTGGGCAAGGAGGAGGGGTGGCTGTTTTTAGATGAAGGTGACTTTACTTGAGAACGTGGGTTACTGATCACATGGCCAGAATCAAATTTTTAATTTTCTGAGGTGGCAGCTGAGGGTCAGGCCTTTTCTTTGTCCTTGGTGCTCTTGGGTAGAGGCTCCTGGTCCAGGGGATGTGGCCAAGATTGGCTGGAGGGCTGGAGGGCAGGGCTTTCTATCATAACCACCCCCACCCTCCACTCTCTACCTGGGAGCCTTTGGAGATTCTTCTTCCCTAATGGCCTACCCCAGCCACATTTTAATACATAGACTAATATTAACATAGAACTAGAGACCATATAACTAATATGGACTACAAAGGGCCACAGACCATTTTTACATCTGAGACCAAGTTTGTCCCCTTAGGGGCAGTATCACCCTACTGAAAACATGTAACAGGACACCTGGTTGGTCCTGAGACTGAGTCATAGCAACTTGCTCAGGTCAGGTTTTGATCCCTGCAGTGTGGCCTTCCGGCCCAGGGCTTGAGGGTGTCAGGCCCAGGGTCTCCAGAAACATGGATGTGGATATGGAGGCCAGGTGTCAGGAATAGGCATGCACACTCCCTCTTCAGAACCCTGGGCTGGGGGTCGTTAGCAACAGCCCTGCCTTAGGCCTTTTCTCTGTGGTTCTGAGAGCTGAGTCTTGAGCCCTCTGCTACTGCCTAAAAGTAGCATGTGGAGACCTGCGTGTAGCCTCTTTTCTGGCATCCCTCACTAAAGAGGGTGCTGGGTCCAATTGTAGTCCTGAGGCTCAAGGATGGGGCAGCCAGCTACCTAGGCCCAGGGAGAAGGGCTACAGCAGAGCAGGAAGGAGCTTGCCGCCAGCCTGCTGGGACTTCACTTCCTGCCCTGACTCACTGCTCACAGCTCTGCACGTAGCTCCTGGTTTTGCAAACTGGGAAATACTGACTCCCAAGGAATGCAGGTTAACAGGAGGCAACCCCTTGGTGAATGTGGTACTGCTGAAAACCATTAGTGGCGTCTGCCTCCAGCCCTTGGTCCTCTGGGCCACCTGAGGTGGTTAATATAAATGTCCCCAGGTTTGGGGGGGGGCTATGACCTGTGCTCTGCTATGTGGCCATGAGTGTGTGTGTGCTGCATGTGCACACATGTATGCTGCACAGGTGTGTGTACAGACCTACATCCTCACGTACAGGGGTTGTAGCAGTGCCCACAGCACCTGCCCTCAGGAGGCTCATTTGAGGGGAGAGGTGCTGTAAAGACCAGGCTGGGAAAGAGGAGCATCTGTTTCCTGTACCTCCTCTGGGCCTGGCTATCCCTGGGATTTGGGATTCTGAGACCTTCTGTTCCATTCAAGGAAAGAACCAGCAGGTGGCCAGAGTGAGGGCCCCGCCTGGCCCAGCTCCCTCTTCTGCATAGGGGCCAGGTCACTGGCCTCAGAAACTTCCTGAGGAGACAAATTTCCTACTCATGGGTGGTTCTCACAACAGTGCTGTAAGGTCTCCTGGATGAAGGCTGTCCTGCCTCTTTGTTATGAGGTTATAGTTTCTTAAGGACTGACCAGGTCTCTGGTGTGAACAGAAAAAGTTGCACATGCAGGACTCTGTGGTATTGGTGTTTTTCCTGGGTGGGGAATCAGGCAGAAGTCAGAGGACATTGCCCTCAGGGTCTGCATTCCAGACATTAGGATGACTGTCCAAGCCGGGGCTTCTAGTGGCAGTTCTGGGCAGCCCTTGGGTGGAGGTTACAACCTCTGATTATTCTGCCCACTTTCACCTATTATGAAACTGTATGTGTTTTATACTTGTGCTGTCAAAAGTCATTGTGGCCACAGAATATCTGGGGTCCTGGGGGGACACCAATTGCTGCCTGGAGCCACCCATTTGGTCTTAGCTGCCCTAAAACTTATCACGTGGCCTTTCTTATATCCTGCCCCTCTTACTGACCTCAACACTGCCACCCTCCCACATGCTGAAGGAAACCAGCTCACCAGCCAGGCCTGAGCTGGGAGTCCTGTGGGAAATCCTTCCCCTGGGGGCACTCTGTCTTTTCTCTAGGGCATTGACAAGGGCACTAACCCTTCCCCTCTAGCCGGCTTTGTAAAGTCGCCCCTGTCCCAGGAGAGGTGGGCAGGGAGCAATGTGGAGCTGCACTGTGAGGCTGTGGGCAGTCCCATCCCTGAGATCCAGTGGTGGTTTGAAGGGAATGGTCCCAACGATACCTGCTCCCAGCTGTGGGACGGCGCCTGGCTCGACCGCGTCCACATCCACACCACCTATCGCCAGCATGCAGCCAGCACCATCTCCATCCACAAGCTCTCTGCAAAGGATGCAGGCACCTATGAGTGCCGGGCCAGCAACGACCCGGACCGCAACCACCTGACCCGGCCACCTAGGGTCAAGTGGGTCCGAGCCCAGGCAATTGTACTGGTCCTTGAACGTGAGTGGTGGGCACCTCCCTCACCACCTCCCTCAGTTTTCCTCTTGTGTCACTCACCTCCAGGCTCCTGCTCAATAGAACCTAGACATTCTCCTGCCCAACTCTCCCTCCCACTCTCCCCCCATTGGGGACCCCCACTGCCTGGACAGAGGGCCTTGGGTCTGGACGTGGGTGAGTTCAGTGTCTCAGCGTCAGTGTGGCTCTGTCCTTTAGCAGGTAGGCCCTTTGCTTTCCTCCTCTTCAGTCCTTTCCATTTGATCCAATCTGTTGAGTTCCGTTCCGTTCCCTTCCTTTGTCTGATCAAGTCCTTCATCCTTCATCCAGTCCATCTCTGCTCCTGCTCCCCTGAGCGCCTGCCCAGCTCCCTTTCACTGGCTGGCCTCTGCCCCACCCTACCCGTGTGCTTGTCCAGTGGGTCTGGGGTCCACACTGCAAGCCTGAGGAACGCTCCCCCACCACCGGGCCAGCTCAGCCCAGGCTCACAGCTCTCCAGAGCCTTCTGTGTGTTTCTCAATGTCTAATTCTAAATGAAAATTATTTTCAAGTTTGGATTTCTAAAGGGAACGTGGAAAACTAACCAAGAGGTCTGCGCTGGTTGGGAACTGGTGAGAACCTGGCAGCTCCCTGGGCTGTTGGGGGTTCTCTGAGAAGCTCATGCTGCCTCGGAAATGGGGAACCCCCTTAAGGGGGTCATGTGTCCCTCTAGGGAAAGAATGTAAAAGGCCACTAAATGAGGACACACTGCCTGGGTGGTACAATATTTTTTAGAAAGGAATTTCTGGGGTGCTATGGGGTTGCCTCCAGCAGGTGGATGCCTTGATCTCTGTTCAAGGATTTAGGGTGGGGTTTGTCTGTTCCCACACCTAGGTCCAAGTCAGTTAGACATATGCTGGGCAGAAACACTAGGCACTGGTCCAGCAGCATAGCTTTAGACCAAGGCCTGCCTGCTTTGTCAGCAAAGGGCCCCTTCCTGAAGGGACTTGTTGAAAGGATTGCAGCTTCCCTTTTCAGGGGGAGCCAATCAGAAGCTCTCCGGGTGGGCTTCAGTCCTCAGGGTGTTCCAGGAGGAGTGGGTAGAGGTACGGGGGAGATGTGGTCCTCCCTCTCCTCCTGGGCCTGACCTTAGCTGGTGGGGTCTGCAGCCGGTGCAGTCTCCATTTTCATAGAGGAAATGGGCCCCAAGACACGCCTCACCTGCGCCTTGAATGAGAGTGCTACGGAGATCACTGGCCACCGCTGGGTGAAGGCCGGCCAGGTTGTAAAGGAGGACTCAAACCCCGGCCTGAAGATGGAGTACTAGTGAGTGATCTGGGAAGGTGGGCAGGGGGTGCTGCCCCAAGAACTACTGGGTGCCCACTGAGTGCATGTTCTGACCAGCAGTGTCTGGTTATAGGACTTGATTCAGGCAGAGTTAGAAATCAGCTCTACACAGACTCCCAACCACCTGGAAGCTGCCTAGGCTCCACTAGCCCTGACCTGGAGCCTGTAGCCCAATTTATTGGGGTCCCATGCACACATGGGGGTCTCAGCAGCTTTGTTTTTTGTTTGTTTGGAGACAGAGTCTCACTTTGTCACCCTCAGTAGCATGCCATGGCATCATAGCTCAAAGCAACTTCAAACTCTTGAGCTCAAGTGATTCTCTTGCCTTAGCTTCCCAAGTAGTTGGAACTATAGGTGCCTACCACAACGCCCAGCTATCCTTAGAGCTTGCTCAGACTGGTCTCGAACCTGTGAGCTCAGGGCAATTCACCCACCTTGGCCTCCCAGAGTGCTAGGATTACAGGCATGAACCACACACCTGACCTAGTTGCTGTGTTTCTGACACAGAGAAGCTCAGACCCCAGACACCATAATCATCAAAGTCTTGTCCTACCTAATTGGGGCTTAGGCTGGCTGTGGAGCACCGAGCCTTTTTTGTTTCTGGTCTCACTGAGAAGATGGTTCACAGGGTGAGGGGTGCAGAGGGGTAGGCCAGAGACATGATATTGCTCAGTGCTTTGAGGGGCCCTTGCACTCACAGGGCCTATGGGTTCTGTCAAGATTTGAATTGAGCTTGGGACAGTCTTCCTTTTCCCCTGTGCTGTGGTTGGAGCCCTGGAGAACCCTAGGTGAATTCTGTGAGGAGAGACTGCCCTATATTATTGGCTCACTCAGCTCAGCTCACCACCTGCTCTTGTTGTAGTGTGGACCCCGATGACCGCTCAGGAGAGTACTCATGTGTCTTCCTCCCTGAGCCTGCAGGCAGGGCCAACATTCCACTGAGAGGTAAGTCCTATAGGCCAGGGTACAGGTGGGCCTAGCACATAGCTGGAGCCAGGGCATGCTGGAGGGCAGAGAAGGGCCCAGGAGACCAGCCCCTCTGCTGCTGGGAGCAGAAGAGGCACTGCCTGCAGTCGTGCGGTTCTAGACTCCCTTGTTTGGTTTACCCTTAGGGCCCCCCAATGTTAAAGCGGTGAAGAAGTCAGAGCATGCCAATGAGGGGGAGACAGTCACACTGGTCTGCAAGTCAGACTCCTTCCCTGCGGTCACTGACTGGGTCTGGCACAAGACAACTGGCTCTGAAGACCAGGTTAGGCCCACAGCTGGCAGTGGGGGGCCATAGGCTCCACTCTTCAGGGACCAGGTGGGGAAGGCCCACAGCTGGGGGCACAGGCTCCACTCTCCAGTTGTAGACAATCCCTCCCCCCCACCCAGGTCATCGTGAATGGCTCCCAGAGCAGGTTCTTTGTGAGCTCCCTTGAGGCCAAGACAGAGTTGCGCATCATCAACCTGGACATGAACTCCGACCCTGGCAAGTATGTGTGCAACGGCAGCAGCTCTGCAGGCTCCGACCACGCTGAGATCACACTGCGTGTCCGCAGCCGCCTTGCTGCCCTCTGGCCCTTCCTGGGCATTGTGGCAGAGGTGCTGGTGCTGGTTACCATCATCTTCATCTATGAGAAACGCCGGAAGCCTGAGGAGATTCTGGACGGTGAGCTGCCACACAACCTGTTCTTGGGGTGGCTCTGGCAACAAGGCCAGGAGCTCAGGACCAAGAAGCCCCAAGGGGGAGAGGATGGGATTGAGGGTCAGTATGGGGTTGTGGCCTCTGGGGGTATGGGACTGAGTCCCACTGGTTCTCAGAACCCACCCTAGGTGAGCAGGCTGGGGGGCCTGTTGCCCACAGCCTCACCTGTCCCGTTTCTCCCCCACCCTCACTTGGCTGCAAGCTGGTGTCCTCCGTGGTAAGTGCCACCTTCAGCTGCTGGGGCCTGAGCCCAGAGGTGCAGGGGAGCTGTGGTTCTCCCTCTCTTCTCTCCCATGGTAGCAGCTCTGGCCCCTGGCTGGCCCTGGGGCCTAGCTCCCCACCTGCATACACCAGCGTAGCTGGTCTGCCTCATAGGGCCTACATGAACCAGGCACGTGGCCTATGGTCGCTGTTCCTTAAATGCTGGCCAGGCAGGGACAAGGACTTTGAGGCTGTGGCTCCAGGCAGCTCATTCTAGGGTACACCCCACTGGGAGGCTGGCTTCTACATAGTTCAGCCTTAGAAGATCTATGTAGGGCAGGGTTGATCAGGTCCACCAAGCCTCTCTTTCAGGGAAACTGAGGCAGGACCAGCATAATAGATGCCCCCAGCATGGGGTCTTATCCAGGGACAATGCTGATGGTCTGTCCTCTTTTCTTCCATGCTGGCTGTTGGTCTCCAGATGACGACGCAGGCTCTGCACCCCTGTAAGTCCCTCTTGGGGATGTCAGGGGTTCAAGGAGCTGCCCACTGCTCTTGAGGCCTTTAAAATACAAAGGCCAGGCCTCGAAACTTCCCTGGGCCTTTGGTGTTCACTAGTCCACAGGGGCAAGCTGGGTGGACTTGAGGGTGCTGGGTGTGTGGTTGGCACCTAGGCACAGAATTGCCATGGCCTCCTGAGCACTGAACTGCTGCCCCTCATCTCCTAGGAAGAGCAGTGGGCAGCACGTGAACGATAAGGACAAGAACATCCGCCAGAGGAACTCCACCTGAATGAGGTTCAGGGCACTGCCCCTGTTCCTTCTGCCGGCTGCCCCTAGAAGCCACAACCCTACACTGACCTTCAATCCCATCTTCTGAGCACCCTTCCCCAGACCCCAGGTCATCCTATCTGCAGTTTTGCCTCTTTTGCCGGAAGTTCATTCCCAGTGTTTGCAAAGTTCCCAGTTTTCTTACCTCTTAAAGAAAATCCTGAAAGCAAGCCAATTGTAAATTCAAATCATATACTATTTTTTCTTTCTTTTTTTTTTTTTTTAAACTAAACTAGGATTTTCTGCATATAGAATTCTATTCCTTAGGGTTTTGTTTTTCCTTTTTAAATCTTTCGTGAGAGCCCCAGGGAGTTGCTGTGGTCTTCTAAGCCTTTTGGCCATCCTTTAGCCACAAGGTCTGAGTCACAGTGGGGGTGGGGGTATCTCTCTCCATTGGCCCAAGTCAGTGCCAAGTCCTCTGCTCTTTGTGGAAGGTCACAGGTCATGTGAGATGTCCCTGTCCTACCTGTCTGAAGCTGATGCTGTCTGGTTGTACCCTGCTCTTTTATTTTCTGAAGGCCACAGGTCTATATTTGACTCAAGAGAGGCTCAGGGGTGGCTCTGACTTATGGCTGCAGAGAACTCACTTGCCTGCACTCAGGGTAACCCCTTCACAGCTCCCAAGTGACCCCCTCCAAGTCCCCTTCCATGCCTGTGTGTCCAGTGTCAGAGCTGTCTGGGCAACTTAAGGGAGGTTTGCCAGGAACCCAGTGCTCCAGCCAGGGCTCCAAAACTGCAGAAGCTACTCCCCAGCTCAGCCCACAGCAGGTATCTCCCTCTCCACAGCATCAGGGCTCAGTGAGAACCCCTTTCTTCTGCCTACCCCATCAATAATAAAGACTGACCCACTTTGTCCTCTCCTGGCTTCTGTCTGTGCCTGTGTGGGGTTGGGTTTCCCAAAAGAGCTGTGTCCACCCTTGGCTACAGCAGGGCCTCAGGGTGTGTTCTGGTGCCAGGACTTTTGTATCAGGACAGGTCCACTGGGACCGTACAGGGGATGGAGATGCTCAGAGAGTGTTGGGGCACAGGCTGGGCAGAGCGTGAGACTGACAGCTGGCTTGGAGCTCAATTCTCAGGGTGTGGTGGGGGATAGGGACCCTGAAAGAAGAGAGACCACCTGCTGGTCCCTCATTGCTACCCAGTGGGGTGTGCAGGATGCTCAGGTCCACCTGCCAAGGTCCATGTGGTCTACCACGGCAGGGATTCGACAGGAGGAATGCAACACAGCCTGCGTGGGCTCCAGGGGTCCACATGTGCACCAATCTCAGGCTCTTGAGCCTTCTGAGCCCCAGAGCTCAAAGACTGGTCCCAGAATTTGGTTCTAGCCAAGAAGAGACAGTCTTGGTGGAGGGGTCACTTGCCATCTGCCCGCCCAGCTCAACCTGTACCCTGACAGCTGTAGCAAGCTGGATGGGCATAAACAGGGGTCCTAGGGCTGAGGAGAATTTGGAGGAGCAGAAATCAGAAGGTGAAGGCAGCAGAGAGAGAATGGAACAGATGGTGGCCCTCACCAGACACTTGGGCCCACACAGACTACTGAGCTGGTCTGGATGAGAGTCTTGGGTGGGTGGTATCTGCACTTCAGAAGGCAGCAGGGGTCTCAGGGAGCAGCAGTTCCCAGAGAAGCCAGAAATCTGTGATCAGATGAGAAATCTGCATTTTTCAATGTTATGAAGAAATCCAGCACTTCAGCTGAAAAAACACTCAACTCTTCAGCCACCAGTTAGGGACAGCTCTGAAATAAGGGAATTGAATTAGGATGTCTCAGTCTGAGGATCTGGACTGCAGCCCTCTCCCTGGCCTGATTTGTTTGCTGGTGCCTATGGCCACTGGGTGCTCCCCAGGGAAAAGAAGAGTGTGGGATCACAGTTGTGGGCCACTGTGTAAGACCACTCACTGCCTCCTGTGCTCCTCCACAACCCTTGGGAACGTCCACTCAATCCTCAGGGGAGGGGCTGAAACTAGCTCAGGGTCTTTTAGCTCTAGCCTGGAGGTTGGGGTAAGGGGCTATGGGCTGGCCCTTCCCGGCAGTGCCACGAGAGGGCACCATGCACCTGCCACCTGGCTGAGGCTGTAAGTCAGGGGAGTCCCTCAACTATAGCAAGACACCATGGGCCTAGTTTTCCCTGGCTGCAACCCTATGTGGGCAAGACAGGCCACCTCCCAGGCTCCTGGAGTCTTGAGGGAACCACCCACTTAAATATTCAGTGACAGAGAATTCATTCAGAGACTTGGATTAGGCACCTGTGGTATACTTGGCCCTGGGGATTCTGCATGCACAGGCACAAGCATCCAGTGGGAAGAGTGGTGATGACCATGAGGCTTGTGGAGGACTCATCCTGGGTAGGAGTGGCCTGGGCACACTGAGGGTGGGCCTGTGCTCACCCCCTGCCTGCCCTCATGCAGCTCAGCCCTCTTTACTCCCACTTGGGACCTGTTTCACCCTGGGGGCCACCAACCCACTCGGGCTTGGACTCTTTACCGGTGAAAAGTAGTAGCTGCCAGGCAGGTAGACAAGGGCTTGCTGGGTGTCAGCCACAGATGGCTGGTAAAAGGGCAGGGCCTGGGCTCCCCATGGGTTTCTCTCCCCTAAAGAAAGTCCCTGTTGGCACCTTTGGCTCAGTGAGTAAGGCACCGGCCCGATATACCAAGGGTGGTGGGTTCAAACCCAGCCCGGCCAAACTACAACAAAAAATAGCCAGGTGTTGTGGCTGTAGTCCCAGCTACTTGGGAGGCTGAGGCAAGAGAATAGCCTAAGCCCAAGAGCTAAAGGTTGCTGTGAGCCTGTAAGCTGTGACACCACAGCACTTTACTGAGGGTGACAGTGAGACTCTGTCTCAAAAAAAGAAAAAAAAGGGAAAAAAGGAAAGTCCCTGTCCATACTGTAAGGTGTTTTTCTTACAGTCATTTTTCTTTGTACATAGAAAGAGAAACCTGATTAGCAAAAATGCAATCCCTCAGCATGTAGCATTATACATCTTCCTGCAGTGCCGAGTGTTCTGGTTCACCTAGCAGAGAGCCTGGTTCACACACAGCCCTGTGCCCAGTGCAGGTTACTAAATCCATGGTTACTAAGCAGTTCACTGAAGCCTGCCTCAGTTTTCCCAGAGGTGAGATGAGGCAGCTATAGCTGCTGAGATTTGGTAAGATCATTGTTGTTGAGTGTCCGAGTGTTCAGGAAATGGCTGCCAACCTCCTCTGGGAACCTCAGGGTCTTAGGAATCCCAGTCCCCAGCAGGCAAAAGGACAGGACTGGGATGGCCATCAGAAGAGCTCATTCTTGGGCTGGAGTTTGCTAAAGCGTGGTGGTCAGGCTGCTCACACCTCCAAATCAGCCTCTCCTTTTCCTTATCTAACCTCCCAGGGGGGTCTAAGAGAATGGGCTGGGGGCCAAGTACTGGGACTCTAAGCAGCCCCTCCCACTTTATGGATCCAGGGCAGGGACAGGTGACACTCCAGGTTCCCATTGTGGTTGGCAGCAGAAGCCCCTGCAATGGAATCAGCCAGTGTTGGGCACCATCAGACTTTGGACTTTCCACCAGGGGCCCTGGAACAGACTTGGCAGGGAAAGGAAAATATGTGGAGACCCCAGATTAGCAGAACCAAGGCCCCACTTTCCATCATAGATGCTGGGGAGATAGGCCCAGGGGAAAGACACTCAGGTTGTCATGCACATGCACAGCTGATCCTTTTTTTTTTTTTTTGAGAGTTTTTTTTTTTTTTTTTTTTGGTGTTTATTGGAAGTTGCCTTGTCACATCATCATCCACTTGCTTTCCCAAGTTTGATGAGACATGGTGAGTTGTACAAATATGGCGCAAACCCCACAGTTCTTGTCCTTTTTGTTATGACATCAGGTCCTTCTACTTGCCAGTCCAGGTGTTACAGGACTCCCCTCACCCTCATTTGATGGGCTTCCTGCCTGCTCTCTGTGGAGAGTGGTTTGTCTTTGGGCTGAGGAAGTAATGGAGCAGGTGAGGAGATACTTGGCTGGAAACCTTCCTGACTCCAGTGTGGTCCCTGTGGTAAATAAGTGTTCTCTCTCCTGTCTTTCTCTTTCCTATTAGAACTTAGTTTTTCAGCTTGCTGCCTGTAGCTCAAGCGGCTAAGGTACCAGCCACAAACACTGGAACTGGTGGGTTCGAATCCAGCCCGGGCTTGCTGACAACAATGACAACTACAATCAAAAATTAGCTGAGTGTTGTGTCGGGCACCTGTAGTCCCAGCTACTTGGGAGGCTGAGGCAAGAGAATCGTTTAAGCCCAGTAGTTGGAGGTTGCTGTGAGCTGTGACACCATAGCACTCTACCCAGGGGAACTGCGTGAGGCTCTGTCTCGAAAAAAAAAGAAAAATAACGTTATTTTCTAGGACTATGTCCCATGATGTCTCATGCTGTTTCAGACAAAGAGAACTGAGGGTAGACCAACCCCTGCCATTTCATCTGCTACATCATCATTGTAGGGGCAGGGGGAGTTTTCACTGGTCTCCAGAGCCAGGGGAGGTCTCCAACCATGGGGATAGGATGTAGTGTTCCCACAGAGAAGTTCCACCCAGGAGAGGGAAATCTGAATGGATGGCAGCTGACTCACCAAGACCAGGGATGCCTGGTTCACTGGGGAGTTGGAATAGAGGTTGGGCACAGCCTAACTAACCAAGCTCTGAGCCAAACCTGCTGAACACAGGGACTCCTAGGGACCCTCATTCCTGGATTGAGGTGTGCTAAAGCTTGGTGGTGAGGCTGCTCACACCTCCAAATCAGCCTCTCTTTTTCCTTACCTACCCTCCCAAGGAGCGTCTAAGGGAATGGGCTGGAGGCCTAAGTTCTGGGACTCCAGGCAGTACCTCCTACTTTATAGTTAAACTACTCTTGGTATAGTCTGTTCTCTTCTCACAGAGACAATGGGACAGGAAACCTCAGTCTCCACCAATTATACCCTGGGATGTCTGTTTAAAAACTGAAAGACTGGGCCTGCATGCAGTGACTATGTCTATAATCTTAGCACTCTGGGAGATTGAGGCAGGTGAATTGCCTGAGCTCATGGGTTTAAGATCAGCCTGAGCAAGAGCGAGACCCCTGTCTTTAAAAATAGCCAGGTGTTGTGGCAGGTGCCTGTAGTCACAGCTACTCAGGAGGCTGAGGCAAGAGAATTGCTTGAGCCTAAGAGTCTGAAGTTGCTGTGAGCTATGATGCCATAGCACTCTATACCAAGGGTGACAAAATGAGACTCTGCTTAAAAAAACAAACAATAACAACAACAACAAAAAACCCTGAAAGACCCTTTGGATTCTACAGCCTCTGCAAAATGAAATTAGTGCTTTTCTGCAACACAGCCTGGCCCCAATACCAACTGTCAAGCAGAGAATCCTAGCTGAAAATGGGAGTCTTTTTATTTTTTATTGAGATAAGAGTTCTCTGTCACCCTGGGTAGAGTGCCATGGTGTCATATCTCACAGTAACCTGAAATTCTTGGGCTCAAGCGATCCTCCTACCTCAGCCTTCCAAATAGCTGGGAGCACAGGCGCCCGCCACAATACTCAGCTAGATTTTTTTCTGTTTCTAGTAGAGACAGGGTCTCATTCTTGCTCAGGCTGGTCTCCACTTCCTGAGCTCAGGTAATCCATCTGCCTCGGCCTCCCAAAGTGCTAGGATGAGCCACCAGGCCTGGTCAAGAACAGGAATCTCAACTCAAATACTATCCTACAAATAGATCTCTTTTGTAGAAGGGAGGAAAGTTGGTCAGAAACTCCCTGTATTCAAGCCTTCATATACCTGCAATATGTGAGTGTTGTGTGGAGAAGTGTCAAATTAGGGGGACAGATAAAGGGTCTGAGTGCCTCTATGGCTCTGGACAAACCTCAGAAAAGAAATTTCAGATTTCAGAAATTTCAGAAAAGAAATCAAGTGAAGACAAAGGGACTGTGAGTGCAGCCTTGGTCCCACAGAAACTTTCATGCTCAACAATGGTCCATGTCCTCCTCTTTATCCCTCTTTCTCAAGTCCAAATCTACTTTCCATGTGTCCTTCACAGGAAGTATCAGGGCCCCCAAGACAGCCTATGATGGTCCACATTCCATTCTCAATGGGAAATCCTCAAAACATGTAAAAATGTAAGACTGGGAAGCTTTTCAGCAGACCCAGGAAGGTTCATAGAAGAATTTGAACACCTGACGATTTTTTTTTTTTTTTTAGAGTCTTACTTTATCACCCTCGGTAGAGTGCTGTAGCATCACAGCTCAAAGCAACCTTCAACTCCAGGGCTTAGGTGATTCTCTTGCCTCAGCCTCCCAAGTAGCTGGGACTATAGGCACCCATCACAACATCCGGCTTTTTTTTTTTTTTTTTTTGCAGTTTTTCGCTGGGGCTGTGTTTGAACCCACAACCACCAG